TTTGGGACGCGATACGGGCGCGATAGGCAGACTGCACTGCCTTGTCTGCCTTCAAAAATATTTATTTATTTATTTATTTTTTTTTTTTCGTAGGACATAGATTTTATTCAAGAAAACGAGGCGGATGCGTCGCGTATTAAAATGATCAACTAAAAAAATAACCATCATGTTGCTCAATTGTCACAACCAAACCTTTATCAACAACTCAAGTCCAAGAGGTAGAAAAGATATCCATAAAATAACCTAGATTAGTCTACATATCTGCATAAATAAAAGAATAAATAAATGATATCATATAAAATAGCACAAAATCACCCATTGTGCATATATCACTCATCATCACCGCACACAAATAATTATCATGCAATATCTCTCGTTCTCACAGCATGAAAATATTCGTCGTGCAATATCTCTCATCCTCCCAGCAAAAAATACCCGTCGTGCATAATCGCTCATCCTCACGGCACGAAAATACCCATCGTGAAATATCTCACACTCACCAAACATATGTAAACCCGTACTATGCAAGGTAAAAATCATAAATAACATTAAGGCGAGTGATTAAGATTTATACATCACGTGAGAAAATAATTGTAACTTTAGCACCATTAGGCGAACCAGCATGTTATGCCCCACACATAAAATAAAGCTTGGTAAGTTTGACCTCTGACACGGCTAATCAGCCGGTGACATATATGGAGATAGAAGGGTCGAAATGGGATTACACGTTTCAGTGAGCTTGCGCCAGATGTCCCACCGGGTGCAAGATCGGGGCGGGACGACCCATTTTGCATAGGGAGTGATGGAGTTTCCTATGCTTGATACATGTATATAAAGGTAGTGGGGCTCATTCTCTTGGGTAATAGGAGTATCACCCACTATAGCTCACCCAAAAATAATCTTAAATCTCCTTTGAAGTTTTTAAGTAGACTAGACTGAATTAGATGGCGAATTTAGTAGGATCTAGCGTAAAGGAGCTTGGAATCATCAATGAATTATCTATTGTATTGTTGCATTGATTCTCGAGACTCGTTGTAGTCAGAGTGACCTAGCTAGTTCTGCAACAAGGTATGTAAGGCAACCTTTTTTTCTTGGCATGGGTTAGTGTAAGGCTCTCCTTCCTCTTAAATGATTCTTTCATCATAGGGTTTAGTAGTTCTAAGCCCATCCTAATGACATTGTTCTATCTTTGTATATTCTTACTGATAGCATTTGTTTCAAGGTCTAAAAATTTTCTAGTTGGTATCCTGAGATCGGAACGTATGATACTTCCTAAGTCTAAACTGAATATCTCTTGAAATTTACTCTGCAATGCACTTACATATATGTACCTATCTTACTTTACTGATCCGCGCTATACCAAACCACTAATTAGTTGGGTATGATGTGAAATGCTACCGAGTCCTTGTATGGCCGGGTACGACCGATCCCCTGTGTGGCTCGGTACAGCTGAACTCTCTATGAGATCGGGTACGGAATGATGTAATACAAGACACAACCGAGCCCTAATGTGACTGGGTGCGACCGAGACCTCCTAAGGCCGAGTACGATACCGAGTCCTCTGCGAGGCCAATTACGATATGAAGCATGTTCCCCAAAAAAGAGGCTAAACAATATTGTTATATTGTATTTAATGCATAATATTTCTTGAGTGGCTTAACCCTTCATAAAGTTTGCATCTTTATAAGTTTATGGATCCTACAGTTTATGCCCCCGGTGGTTCGTCTTTGGTATTTAGGCTGAAAGCAAGTACTCATATCTCTTTTGTTATGCCGCTGATTTTATATGCTTTCTTAGTCTTACTCAATACATTATCCGCACTGACGCCCTTTTATTGGGGCGCTGTGTTCATGCCCACATGTACAAATAGACCTGGTGACGTCTCTCCACAGTAGGGTATTATTTCAGCTAATTGGTCATTGCTCTCCACTCCTTCGGGGTAGCTGTTCAAAGTTAGTAGGCACTGGAGCATATATTCTAAAATATTTTTGGTATGGTGGGGCCCTGTCGTGACCAAGTTGTGCATATATTTATTCTATTAGCACTCTTAGAGGATTGCAGACTAGAGTTTGGTTGTATGTAACAGAATGTGGTTATGACTTTGTTGGGTATAGTGATAAATATGTGTAAAATATTAATATTTCTTTTGTGAGCAGTTGTACACATTTTAGATTTCCAGTATTACTACTTGGAGGCCTCGTTAGCCCAGATTTTATGATTAAGAGAAGATAAGAATGGACGTCGGTTCGCACAGGCCTTCGGGCATCGTGTGCCGGTTACACCTCCCAAAGTTGGAGTGTGGCACAATATTTCAAGAACTATAATGTCCAAATTTCTCAACAACGCTTAAACATACTTACTAACATGCATGTAAATGATCAAGTAGTTCCACGAACTATTTAAAGCATAGAAGAAATACTAAATGAAGCAACCAAGATATGAATAAAGCTAATTCTATCTGCATGATTTAATCATAGAAAGCGTGTATACGCTCGTCACCATGTATAAACGCCGCCCCTACACATTTAGCACATAGCAAAAAGACCCAAGTACAATAGAATTCCCTCAAATCAAGGTTAACCAAGATACTTACCTCTTTTTGGAATAAATCAACTCTCCAATACAACTTTTCCTTTAGAATAAGCCTCCACACAACTCGAATGTAGTCAAATAATACTCAAATAAGTCAAAACAAGCTTAAGAAACCCTCATAATACTAAAAAGGTTTGATATTTATCATATTTGAAAAAGTCCGGGATCACATTCTTCCTTGAGTTCAAATTTATTTTTAGTTTCAAGATCCGACTTCAAATTGAGGTCTAAATTTCTAAAATTCACTATCTTAAGTTACTACCCAAATCCTATTTTCCACTCTATGAAATTCTAGATTTAGGGATAAAAATCTATGGGGAATCATGAAAATAAATCAAAACTAAGTTAAAATTACTAACCTTTGAAGTTGAAAAGAAAATCCTCTAAACACCGCCTCTTTACGAAATCTAGATCTAAAAAATGGGAAAAATGAGCTAATCCCGAAATCCTTCCCTTTATCCAGAAGTAGATATTGCAATTACAAAATATTCATCGCAAATGCGACATTGCAAATATGACAACTTGGTTCGCACTTGTAAACAAGCATCGGTGCAAAAATCGCAAATGTGGCCTTGCCTTTGCAAATGCGACCATCCCCCCTAATTTGAGTTCCTTGCAGTGCGAGCCAACATTTGCAAACACGAACCTAGCATTTACGGACAAAGCATCAAAAATATGATACAACCGGAGGTCTCCCCATTCTCCAAATGCGAGGCAACAATCACAAATGCGACCTCGCATTTGCAAACCTGTTGTCGCAAAGGTCACATTAGCAGCGCAACAACAAAACTTATAAAAATGCCTTAAACCAATCCGAAAATCGCCCGAGTTCCCCAGGCCCTAGTCCAAAAATTCAAACAAGTATATAAACCTCACACGAACTCGCTCAAAACATTAAATAAACATCAAAAATCAAGAATCAACCATCAAACCAAAGATTCAAAAGTTCATAAACTCTTAAGTTCATATTTTCCAGCTTTCAACTATAAGTGCCGAAACGGCCCCGGGTCACGTGGGACCAAAACTAAACGTACATACAAGTCTCAAATCATCATATGAACCTATGTAAATCGTCAAAATACTGATCCGAGGTTGTTTACCAAGAATATTGATCGTGGTCAACTCCACAATATTAAAGCACTAGAATTAGAATTTCTCTTCCAAAAACATATGAACTTTCTAAAAATCAAAACGGACAATGCACACAAGTCATAAAACATCAAATGAAGCTAGCTATTCAAGGCTTCAAATTACGAAACGAAAAGGTAGAACTCAAAATGACCTATCAGGTCGTTACAACTTGTCACTCACCCATGGCTATCTTAACCCACACTTTTTTTATGAACCCCCTGCCTTTCCGTTTTACCCTCTTCTTCTCTTTCCTCACCATTAATAGCTTCCTTTCATCTTTAATAGAACCCAAAACAGTATATATAGCCTGGGTCCCCTTTCCTCGTGACGCCAGAGGCCCCTAAAGGTGGCCTTTGTTTTCCAACTTTGATTTTTGATCACCTTGCCCCCTCCATTACTCCAATACTCTTTCAAGCTATCCCAAATATTTGTACCTACATCATGTGGTATTGCTAATAATTTTGTGACAAGGATTTAAAAATTTACGAGGCCTTACCATTCAAACCAAAGAAAAAGCCAGTAACCTTTTTGGTCAAAGAAAATATAACCATGTATATTCGTGAAGCTGTCATTAACCATAGAGGAAAATCCCTAGGAAGACAATAATTTAAAACTTTCTAATTAAATGATTAAATTTAATCAGGTAGTATTAGATTTATTCAGGGATTTGCCCATTTGTAAGATCTGAAATTTCATCATCTTCATCGACACGAGTATACAAAAAGTAAAAGAATATATAGGAACATGTATGTATGTATGTATGTATATATATATATATATATATATATATATATATGTCAGAATGAGCCTCCATTTGAATAGTGCCAAATGAGAAGATGACAGCCTTTTCACACGAGGGAGCATTTTCTCTGACATAGAATACCAATATAAAATTGTTCCTGACTTATTCATGATATCTTGGAAATATACTTGTCAACAGAAACTGAATCCTTTCTCCTCATTGAAAACCTTACTTAAGATGTGATTCAAGTCAGATAGAAAGTACATAACAAATATAAGAGTCATTAATCTTGATAGCCTAGGTATTCGAGATGGCAAAAGATGTAAGTTTCTGATTGACTAAATGCTACATCTTTCATTGATATCTTAGAAATTCTTTTCTTTGTTTTATACTCTGTTGAAAATCTATCAATAGATCTTCATGTACATGGTAGTTAGTTCGTAAACCAAAATAATTAATGGATCGGATTTTTTTTCTGATGTTTTCTTTTTTCTTTTTCATCTGTAAATTGTCTAATAGGGCATGGATTACGATGGCCTTAGCCACCAGGGCTCTATGGAATCTATTGACGACTTCTTACTTGAAGATGACTTCTTTAATCCTAACCTTATTATTCTCTCTGAGATGTACTCAACATTAACCCCTTATTTCAATAGCACAAGTTTGAGCTCTTGCATCATTGAAGAGAATGTGCAAAAAGCACTCATTTCTCCACCTTCCTCTTCTTCTTCCTCCTCCTGCTCTGAGGTTCTCATTTCTTTTTCGATGCCAACTAAAAGAGATGTTGAAAAATCATACTTTGACCCTTTAACGCACCATTTTGAAGAATCGACTGGAAATAATAATAATATCTACAAGAAGAATTATGTAGAAGCAGGTGATCATGCTATATTGGAGAGGAAACGTAGACAGAAGTTGACTCAGCTATTCATTTCCTTGTCAAAGATTCTTCCGGGCTTGAAGAAGGTTTGATAATCCCACTTAAAACTTCTCTTTTTTTTATTTTGGATTTTGTTATTACTGAAATAAAGGCCATATATCACCCAAAGGTGGCTGAAATTTAAACAAAATTAGAAGAATACAAAGAGTAGTAGAGAGGGATAAGGGATCAATACCTCCACAAATCAAAACATTTGATGGTAGAGGCCATATATCCCAGTTTTCGTCTAAGTTTGGTCTTAAATGACACTATATAGCTGGATAAAACTGTATCCAAATTAAGTTTTTTACTACTAATTTCTTCATGGACAGAGCTTACATGTATATATAATGTCTACACTAATAAGTGAATACAATTTGTTTTCTATATAAATATTTTTATCATTTTAATTTGACTAAGCTTAATGATATGTATTCTCACTTTAATTTACAACTGCTAAAGTTAAATTGCTTAAGTTATCTAAACACCGAATACATACGTATTTACCTTTCTTTAGCTCTTTCTTGAGTAGCATTCCCTCCGTCTCGAAAATAACCATACTTTTTGGATTTCTAAATCAAACTTCTTAACTTTGACCAAGAATTCGGATATATAATCTTTAAATTTTTTAAAATAAAATTTATATATTTAAAAATTACATAAAAAGTACTATAAATCACAATAATTAATAATTTAAAAAGTATATAAAAAAGTCGTGGTCAAAGAACGATTCATTTGACTCTTGAAATTCGAAAAGTATTATCTCTTCGTTCAATATATTCTCACTAAAATTGTTGACCATATGCTTCAAACTTGGTTGGTCAGTGACCTCTAATGTTTTGTTCATATTCAGTGTAAGAACAAAGTCTCGTGTTAAAAGTTAATAAGAAAATAATTATACATAAAATATAAAGTACTCTTAATGCACGGTATGAGACACTTTTGGAAAAATCGTACAAGTTTATTCGTAGCAACAATATCACATTTATTAATAAGAGTATGGCTAACCCAACCGTGAGTTTAATGTTTCAATCATTCTCTTGTGATTAACAGTCCATATAAATATCCTCCTGTAGTCAAATGCATCTTATTTGTTTTACCTACATAAGTGCCCTTCATCTGGTCTTGCTGAAATTAATTACTAGGAGTACTTGTTACTGCTGTTACTCAAAACAAGAGCAACCCCCCCTTCCATTTGGGTTACATTTTAAGTCTTCGCTTTCATTTTCTAAGTCATCCAAAGATACAACAACTTGAACTAATAAGATGGATATTTTCTGCTTTGGTTCGTGATGTAGATGGACAAGGCTTCTTTACTAGGAGACACTATCCAGTACATGAAAGAGCTTCAACAACGTGTAAAAGTTCTTGAAAAAGAAATAAAAAATAACCCTAGCAAAAGATCATTGGCAGCAAAAGTTCCTTCGGATGTTTCATTGTCCGAAGGAAGTGATTATAGTAGCAATGAGGAAGACATAGTGCCAGAGATCAACGTAAGAATATCTGATAAAAGTGCACTTATTGACATTTATTGCAACAAACAAGGTGGAGTTGTTGGAAGAATACTGTCGGAAATGGAGAGATTGCATCTTTCAGTCCGTGACATGAATATAATGTCATTTTCTCGTACTAGTCTGGACATATCCGTTGTAGCTGAGGTACGTCCATATATCACTCCCGTGCTAAATTTTGAATTAGTTGTTGTGCTCCGTCCAATATTAGTTATTTATATTTCCCCTTAAGAAATCATAAATTTTGAATAATTTATCCTCATCTCTCTTAAATAATTGTACACTCTATTAATATTGTTTACTTTCAAGAATAATTAAACATTAAGGGCAAAATGGAAAAGATTATTTAAATTTATCTTGATTTTCTAAATGACAAGTATTTTGGGTCAAATGACAGCTAAAATGGGATGGAGTTAGTAGTATATTAAAAGTAAACTCTTTTTGGAATTTAGGGGCTTGAAATTTACTACTATTGAGACTTTTATGAACCTAATATTTTCCAAATATTATCATAGATAATAATAATAATAATAATAATAATAATTAAGTTCACCACACTAACCTTCAAAAGGATTCAATTATCTCTATGTTACCACCACACAATAATTCAAGACGTTGGTAGGTCAACCTCACAAATTTGATCTGCGTCAAATGATTCTGTGGTATACTTATTGAAAAGGACCGTTTAAATGCCAAAAGAAACTTGGCAGTAACTATTTTGTCTGTCTTTTATTTTTGAAAATCAGGCATTTATGTTGAATCAATCTATTTTGCGTTCCTTGCAGATGGAGAATGGATTCGATGTAAATGTTGAAGACATTGTAAAGGCCCTTCAAAGCAAACTTTCAGGGGAAATCCATTATATTGTTTGAGTCTATGATCATTTCCCTTCTGATCTTCTACAGCCTTCGACTTTATGTATTTTCTTGATCTCTTTGGAAAAAAAAAACCCATGCTTATTTTACGTAACTACATGAACACCATGTTTAATTACCAATATTTACCAATGTAATGAATTGCTGTATATCAAAAAAAAAAAAAAAACTTTAGACAAGTCGTTCAAAACTCACATACCTTACTACTCTGAGTGGATAATAAAGTTTATGAGAATCGGGGATCATAGAGGTTTTTTTTTTTTTTTCGGGTAAATAAAACTTGTAAAGCTCAAATAAAAGAAAAATAAGCAAAAATGGAACTGGGCAACAAGCCCCAATTACAGAGAAATCATCACAAGAGCAGCTACTAAACTTGTAGCCGACTTCAACACCATATTACCAAGCTAATCTAAAGATAAAATTAAATTAAGTTGTTCTAGTCTACTAATCAGTCGAGCCTTCATAGCAGAATATGTCTTGTACAATTTGCCTTGTAACCTGTTCCTCTTTCTTGCCTTTGCTTGTTTTGGAATTTTCTCATGTTCTGTTCTTGCCAGAGATAATACACACTTCCAGTAATAGCCATTTGAAGCACCTCTAGCCCTGCACTCGATTAGCTTCTCTGTCCATTCTATTTCATGTTGCCAACTCATAATTAAGCCTTGCAACAACAACAACAACAACAACAATCCAATGAAATCCCACCAGTGAGGTCTGAAGAAGGTAATGTGTACGCCCTTTTAGTCACTGAATAGGATAAGTACTTAGAGGTCCATGATGTATTTCTTCCCAACATCCTTTCAAGCAGAGGCTGCTACTGGATAATGGATAATTTCTTTGAGCTCAAAAGGACTCCAAGTATTTAATTGGTAGCTCTCCTAATTTATTGTATCCAAACAAAGATCCATAATCTCCTGTTCCACCTCCAAGCTTCCCCCTCAAAAGTAAAATACAACTCGATCTTGTCCCTATTTGCAATTAAACAAAAGATACTTGAGAATTAAATAACTAGTACTTTCATGCTTAGTTTCACAAAGATCAAGTTACCTCCACAAAATAGAAGGAGATCATTAGCAAATTCCAGTTTCACATAAGAATTTGGGATGGTAGTTAAAATCAGGATTTAGTTGCAAAATTTTCAAGAGCCTGCTAAAGTACTCCTTAACCAGAACAAATAAGAAAGGACAAAGGATCTCCTTGTCTAAAACTCTTCTTGGCAAGGAAAGGCCTAACTGCCTTACCATAGATCAAGACATAATAGGATGCAGTGCTATTGAAAACTATGTCTTGTTGGAAATGAAACTCAATCTCTAAGATTAGGGCATGAGAGTAGTCGACAACATATGCAGAGGAGAAGGGAAAAAAAAGAAATCTGTTATTGACTTCTGATGTACAAATGTCTATATATACCAGATATTAAACTAGCAAACTATACTTAATGACATAACAAACTTCTAACAACTTTACTAACTGTATACACTTACATATACCATAATACCCTAATATATGAATCACACTTTAAAGTAACTTCCTCTTCACCACCCCATAAATCAAAGTTCATCAAAATGATTCTTCTACGGAATTTGAGTATGAGATTTGAAATCAATTTCTAAGGTATATCTAAAGACATTTCCTTAATAGTCCTTATTTTATACAAATGACCACCTTATTTCAAAAAGTCAAGTGTTTCTAACTTAATCCCATTTTACAAGATTAGTAAGTATGAGTATTATAAACCTGTTTTCAATACTCTTTAGACATTTCAAAGGCTTGCTTTTAAATAAAACCTACCCTTTATTTTCAAAGTATATATACTACTTCTCTTTCAAAAATGATATTTTTTAAAACATAACATAAGGTAAGCCACACTCTTTTAAGCACTAATTAAGTAGAATATAAACATTTAAATTCCATAAACCTAGTCTAAGTCCTATAGAGCTACTTTAGGTAGATTCTATGGGGTGCCTAACACCTCCCCCTTAGAAGAACAAGAACCCTTACCCAAATCTCACTTATTAGCAGACTAATAGGATAATGATTTAAACAATTGAAATACCCCAGTATACCTTTAAATATTAGGCGGCGACTCTCTTTTATCATCAACGGGGAAACGACTAGTTGAATCTTGTTTTGACTCGTGCAAAATAGGGTGCAACAGTACTCATACTACACTTTTGCACCTTGCGTGCAGATCTTGGAGTTGATGTTGCTAATTATGGCGGGAGTCGGCGTTGAAGACGTACCTGATTTCCGGACATTGCTACCACTTGTCCTTGGTAGTTTTACATTTATAATCTGTTATGTACATTTCAAACAGATATTGTAATTATTTCATTCTAGCTTGTATCTACGTCTTAGTGGCTCATGACTTGTATAACCAGTCCTTGGGGATTTAGTATAGGGTTTCAGTTATTTTATTTATTTCATTTATTGGTCCCTTATTACTTCATTATAGTTGTATTGATTGTTATCTGGCTTACCTAGCGAGTTGGGTTAGGTGCCATCACGACTAGTTGGATTTTGTATCATGACAGGTTGGTATCAGAGCTCTACTTCATAGGTTCTATGAGTCATGAGCAAGTGTCTAGTTGAGCCTTCCGGATCTGTAACGACCCGACCGATCGTTTTTAATACTTTATCCTCGCTCTCCTATTTATTGCTTCTTCTATGTTATATTGTGATTATGTGACATGCCGGGGTGGTTGATTTTGGTTTCAGAGTAAAATGGGACACTTAGTCCCTAAGTTGGAGGCTTAAGTTGAAAGGGTTTACCGGAGTTGGAATTTTGTGTAGACGACTCCGAAATTGAGTTTTGACGGTTCCGATAGCTTCGTATGTGTTACGGCCCAGAAACCCAACGCAGGCGTCGTGATGGCACCTAGTCTCTAAGACTAGATAAGCCGATTACTAACAATAATTAGGCAATTTTTTAACAATAATAATTTGAAACAGAGTCTAATATGAATACCGAATCAAAAGCGTAATAAGCCTACGCAGCAATAATCATAACAACCTCCCAAGATTTGGTAATACAGAATCGCGAACTCTAGCTAAGTACATGGAAAAATCTCAAAGATCGAAATACAATACTGTTCATATAACAAGCTGACAGTACAATGAAAGGAAAGAACTCCAAGGGACTGCGATGACCAAGCAATTCTACCTTGAATCCTCGCGACCAATATGCTAACTCTACCCGAGTCCGATATCTCCAATAACTGGCTTTGCACAAAAATATGCAAAAGTGTAGTATGAGTACACCACGGTCGGTACCCAGTAAGTATCAACACTAACCTCGGTGGAGTAGTGACGAGGTACAAGTCAAGAAACTCACTAGACAAAATAAGCTGTGCAGTATAAAAGTATAAAGCTAATAATGAAAGCAGAAATCAGTAAATGGCAACAATAATCAACAAGTGATATAAACAGTAAAGCAATAATAACATTGTGAAGTATCGTTAAAACAAAATAAGGAACCCAAAGGACAACCAATTAATCAAGCCGTTCTAACACAAGTTTCACAACGAAATCACTCGGTGGTACCTCATCTCATAATCATAAGTCACGGGTCTCAACCCACCATCCTATGCTCAAGACACCTTGTGCCTACATTTCAAATCACAACCGCACGGACAAATCATGTGACAATATCTCAATCCGCCCGACATGATCACAGGCTCACATTCACAATTCGCCCGACGTGGTCACTGGCTCACAATTACAATCCGCCTGGCGTGGTCACAGGCTCACAATCACAATCCGCCCTGCATGGTCACAAGCTCATAATCAAAATCCGTCGGACGTGGTCACATGCTCAATATCAACATGAAAACCGATAATACAAGAACACATGGGCATGATTAATAAATGTCAAGTTTCATACTCCTGAGCTAGTATAAGTGGCATGCTACAGTGTATGCTTGTGAGAGTGTACTACTATAGCCCAAGTCAACAAGTAATATCAAAGACATCGAGTAGCTCATCGAAGCAACTCAATAAATCATGTAAGGTATAAGACATACACAAGGAAAAGCATACCATCACACGAAAATCACCAACACAATCTCCCCAAGCCATCACATATCATCCCTGAAATTACCACCCTTATCTCTCCAATAGCCACCCATATCACTCCGCCCTCACAATATCATTAGCCACCCATATCACTCCGATAGCCACCTATATCACTCCGCCATGACAATATCATTAGCCACCCGTATCACTCTATACATTCAACAACAGTGAGATGCTACCCTTATGCCCTGCATAACAATGGTGAAATGCCTCCCTTATACTCTGCATAACAACAACCAAACCACACAATATTTCACATGTGCTAACATCACAACAACACGATATATCAACTCGTATCACAAGTGCCCATAGGCCACAACCTTTCCAAAGATCCTATAATGTCAATATTTTCACAACAAATAGCCCACGACTCAACAATGTGTATAGAATCTCAATAACAACAAAATGAATGGAAAAGTAACTAAACGAGGAACAACACCCCCTTTAAACACAACTTCAATTAAAATAGATTAATGACTTTTGATAACCTCATTCCCAATTAATTATTTAAGGATAAACTCAATAGTGAAAGTATTTCTATGAAATGGCAAACTTCAGATTCTAGTGTATGAATAGGCTAACAATGAAATAAATGGCACGAACTAGCACTACGTCTAAATGCATGAGAATAACCCGACAAAAAAAGGATATCATATAACAATAATTTCAACTAAGAGTAACTCCACAATAAAAGAAATTACATAATGATAAAAGTGATAACAACTTCAAATAAAGCATATAAGAGCAAACTCGACAATTAAAGAATGTGACATGTAATGACAACTTCAAATAAAACATGTGATAGTAGACATGACGAATAAAAGATATAACATGTGCTAACAATTCCAAATAAGTACATGAAAGAAGCCTAAGAGTCTAAGCAGGTCAATTTTCCACATATAAGCCCGAGTACATACTCGTCACCTCGCGTACATGGCTTTCACATGACAAAAATAGCACAAACGACTCCAATCCTAAGGGGTAGTTTCCCCACACAAAGTTAGACAAGATACTGTTACACCCTATATTTTCGTACGTAAAAATGCGTCGTAAGCAAACTAATGTAGGACCAAAAATGAGATAATATTTAAAAGTATATAAAGTAAGTTAATCATGTTACCTCTGAGGTTACAAATATTGAAGATCATGAACAACAAGTACAAAGAGGGTTGGACAGTTCAGAAGCTAAAGCAATTAAATAAAACAATGTTTCATCGAAAGTCGACAAGTTGGGAATGTTATAACATGTACCTTTGGGGTGAGACTAGGGTGATTAACATGATAAAGAGATTATGTTATGATTTATATTAGTCGTATTACATCCGTGTGTTATGTTTTTAAGTCAAGCGAGTTGTGGAACAAAAGTCGATGAAAGTCATCACAAGTTACATTCATAAGTTTTACTGAAACTTTGGGTCAAATGTAACTGCAATTTTCTCCCAATATACTTAGAGTTATGGTGTGTTCCACCCATCAAATTAAAGATCTATGAGTCTATTTTCCAACGCATTAAACCATTTGTCAATACGACATCGGAGTAGAGAGATATGTGCATTTTTGCGATACTGCGCAAGCTGCTAGGTGACAAGTAGGTGTGTCACCTACTTGCTTAAATGAAAGCCCAAAAATGGGCCATTTCGGGTCGTCCAAAGAGGCCTTTTAAGGGCCTATTTTCTTCATATATTAGACTTAAAATAGAGCATAATAACCAGACATAAGCTCTGCAAAGAATCCTCCCAAAAATTTCCCACAAACCCTAATTGATTTTCTCTCCCTTTCAAGTTCCAATTGGAGGTAAAACTTAGAGTTTGAAGAACCAAGATAGGAGCTGAGTTATCCAACAAATAAGGTGAGTTTACTGCTCTCTTTCATCCATTTTTTCTTCTGTAAATTCATGGTAAGTCGTTCTATACTTGTAAGAACTCACGGGATGGTGATCGGAAGCCGTGAGTTCGAGTTATTCACTTGTAGCGGACTGTTTTGTGGACTGTTTTGTGTTGCTGTTGGGCTGCGTGTTTTATTACTATTTTGTGGAGTTTTGGAGGAGGAAGGGGGTTTATAAACACCATATAAATGTAGGGTGGTTGGCTGGTCGTTCGTCATAACATTTTCGGGTCGTTTGACACTACTACGGTGGTCGTTTTGTGTACGAAGAGATTGGGGTGTGTTGGGCTGTTTTGTAGTATTTGATGGTGTATATAGGGCTGGAAAATGATGTATATATGTTGTTATTGTTCTGTCCTTGTATTGTTGGTGTTATCTTGAAGTTGGAGGAAGGGCATATTATAGGGGAGATGCTGCCCGTTTTAATACAAAATAGGTTTGT